ATCAAATCCAAAGCCCTTACCTTCACCCTTAGGGCCCAACCTCCCTCTGCAGCCTCATTTTTTGCAGTTGGCCCCATCTTTTGCCCAGACACCTGGCCTGCCTACTGTTCTTCAGAAACATCAGCTCCTTCCTACCTCTGCTCTTTGCCCACTTCTCCTGCTCTAGGCATGATGAATTTCTTACCACATAGATATTAATTCAAATGTGACCTCTACAGAAAAGCCGTTCCTGATCCCCCAGCTAGAGTAACCCCCTAACCCCCACCTAGGTGCTCTGTCTCACATTACTAGGTTTGATGAATTTTTTTTTTTTTTGGTAAGAATTGATTTTTTTTTTTTTTATTGATTAATTTTTGTTACAAATGATTCTCCTTTTTTCCCCCACTGATTCCCCCCTCCCCCTTCCCTCCCTGCCCCTTCCCCCGATTGTTGTCCATGTCCACTGTTCATGCATACATGCATATAAATTCTGTTGTTCATCCCTCTCTCAGCTCCCCACTCCTTAGGGGATTGTCCTCAAACTGTTATGTTCATTATATTCCAGAAATCAGTGAGATCATATGAAATTTGTCTTTCTCTGTTTGGCTTGTTTCACTTAGGATGATACTTTCCAGGTCCCTCCATGTAGTCTCAAAGGATAAGAGATCTTTCTTTCTTACCGCTGCGTAGTACTCCATTGTGTATATGTACCACAGCTTTTTAATCCATTCGTCTACTGATGGGCACTTGGGCTGTTTCCAGATCTTAGCGATTGTAAATAGTGCTGCTACAAAGATGGGGGTACATATATTCTTTCTGATTGGTGTTTTATGCTTCGTAGGGTATATTCCTAGAAGTGGGATCACTGGGTCAAATGGGAGATCAATTAAGAATTGATTTTTTAATTTATTAAAATTTTTATTGTTGACATTATTGCAGATATCCCCCATTTGCCCACCTCCACCCAGCCCCCACCCCCTTTCCTTGGCCCTCACCACATTATTGTCTGTGTCCATGGGCTATTCATATTTGTTCTTTAGCTGATCCTTTCACCTTCCTTTATCCAGTCCCTCCCATCTCCCTCCCTGCTGATCTTTGTCAGTTTGTTCCATGTATCTATGCCTCTGGTTCTATTTTGTTTGTCAGTTTTTTTTGTTCATTAGATTTCACATATTAGTGATATCATATGGTATTTGTCTTGCTGACTGGCTTATTTCGCTTAGTATAATAATCTTCAGGACACCCACGGGGTTGCAAAAGGTAAGAGTTCCTTCTTTTTTACAGCCTTAATTATACTTATCACTGTCTGGAATTATCTTTGTTATTCATTTGCTTATTATCTATATTCCTGTCCCCATGAGAACACCACATTTTTCTGTCTTGTACCCCATGAATCCCCCATTACCTGTAATATACTTAGTATATAGTAAGTGCTCAATAAGTATTTGATGACAGAATGAAAAATAACACAGAAACATGTAAAGGAGAAATATAATACCATACAGTTGTAGATATAATAGTTAATAATGTAATATGGGTGTGTGTGTGTAAGCTGGGAATTACCTGCCCTTTTAACGATAGGCTTGGGGGTGTCTGGACCTGAAGCAATGCATGAATGGGAGACACACATATGTGGTCATATGCACACATATGCATGTCTACACACATATGTTTCCTTATTCAGTAACCGTGTGACCTCTGGTGAGGTCTTTCACCTTTTGGCCATCAGTTGTTCCACCTGTGGAATGGGGCAGGCTGGACTGGAGGCAGAGGCCTGGATGCCATGACCTCTTAAGGTCAGCAGGAGTACGCAGGCAACTGGCCTGTTGTGCTGTGCTGAAGGAGACAGGAAGTGTTTATTGAAGTCCACCTCCACACAGGACTGCCCGTCCCTTCATCCCTTGCCCTCTGAGGTGAGGATGTCACCCATGCAGGGAGGAGTGGGGGGAGGCAGAATATTGGCAGATAAGCTTAGAGACCCGAGCTTTGCTGCTGGGAGGTAGGTTACTGTTGCAGTAGGTGTTCTCTTGGATGCATCTGTAGCTTTAATTTGATTAGTTTTTATTTTTGTGTGTGCTTGTTTTATTTAAAAAAATTCTCGGTACATTTATTTTATTTTTCTTTCAATTGCTACAAAAAGAATTTCCATGAAATTAAAAAAGGAAAACACACTTATGCACATCTGAGGTAACAACTGTTCCCTCCCTACCTCTTGATCTTTTCCTGTGAGGACAATACTGGAATCTTGCAGAACATATGGGAAGTACAAGTGGCCCTGGACCTCAAGCAAGTTACTTTATGTGTCTGTGCCTCAGATACCTTATCCAAAACAATAAGGATCTAATACTTGCTCCCTCTTTTGGTTGTATAGACTACTAGTCAACATTTATAAAGCACTTAGAAAGGTGCCTGACACTTAATATGTATTTGTTAAATAAGATGAGTAAATAACTAGAAAGGACAGGGCACCCATTATGCCTTCATTCTGGCACAAAGAGGCAGCTGTGGGATCTGTCCTTAGAGTCGGCAATCAAGAGTTCAAGCCTGCCCTGGCAGTTTTGCTCAGTGGTTAGAGCATTGGCCTGTGGACCAATGAACTGAGGGTTCGATTCTGTCCAAGGGCATATACCTCGGTTGCAATTCAACCCCAGCCCTGGTGGGAGGCAACCACTCTATGTGTACCTTTCACGTCAATGTTTCTTTCTCTCTCTCCTTCCCTCCCACTCTATCTGAACAAAAATGGAAAAATGTCCTCAGATGAAGATTAAAAAAAAAAAGAGTTCAAGCCCCAACTCTGTCCTTACGCATGTAACCAGGGGTATGTATGTGGCTTCCCTAAGCCTCAGCTTCTCTATCTGTAGAATGATTATGTAATCTGAACCCCACAATACTGTGCATCCAGAGCTAACGGATGTGAGTGGGCTCAATCAGCATGGAGCCCTGTACACCATGACAACCCAGCCCCCATCCTCATTTACTGTAAACATTGCTATGTGTCACCCATCTCCGTGTTTATCATTTTTAATGGCTATGTAATATTTCATCATGCAGAGGTATCATGATGCAGTTTGTCATCTCTATTGTGGGATGTTTAGGCAGCTTCCAGCATCTTTCTGTTATAAATAATCCTGCAATGAACAACTCTGTGCCCTAAGCACTTCTCCGCTAATGGATGATTTCCCTAGGCAACCTCAGGAACATTCATTGAGGCTGCTTTGCTGTGGGGCTGAGGGACAGGCCAGCAGCAGTGGCTGGGAGAAAGCGGTCCCTTCAGAGGTGATCTGATACGCTGCCACAGAAGCAGCAGCATGGTAGGGAGGCAGCAAGACACTCAATGTGACGATGCTGAGCATGATGGGAAGAGCAGGGCATCTGGAGTGGTAGTGCTGAGCATTATGGGAAAACATGAGGCCACCATGGGAAGCACAGAGTTGGTGCTTGGGACTAGGAGGAACTAGGTTCTGGGTTTGCCTTTACCACACTCTTGCTGCATGACCTTGGGCAAATTCTTTCCCTTCTCTGGACCTTAGTTTTCTCCACATATTGTGGCCAGTGGCTGGGCAAGGGTTGGTCCAGAGCTGTGCTGTCATTCATTATGGTAGCCACTAACTACATGTGGCTATTTAGATTTAAAGGTAAATTAATAAAATAAAATAATTAAGTTTTTAGTCATACTATTCACATTTTCATATCCAGTTGTACCTAGTAGCTACCATACTGAGCAAGACAGATATAGAACATTCCATCATTGCAGAAAGCTCTATTGGACTGGACCTGTCTAGAGAGATTTCTAGAAACCCAGTCAGCCTTACTGTGTTGTGATTTATGATCTCTGTCATTATGCCTTTTTATGGAGTCAAGAGGAAGGTGAGTAGCCCTTAGCTCAGAGAACTCATGAAGGACCTAAAGAGGCTTAGTGACTTTTTTGTTGTTAATCCTATTCCAAGCATAATTTTTCCATTTATTTTAAGAGAGAGTGGAAGGAAGGGAGGGAGGGGAGGGGAGAGAGAGAAAAAAAACATCAATGTGAGAGAGACACATCGATAGGTTGCCTTTCCACATGCTCCCCAACCAGGGCCAGGGATTGAACCTGCAACCTGGTGCATACCTTTGACAAGGAATTGAACCCTTGACTCTGGTGCTCAGGCCAATGCTCTAACCACTGAGTTACACCAGCCAGGGCAAGGCTAAGTAACTTTTCAAAGTCCAGGACTCTGAATATGTACTGAGTGAAAAAAAACTATACCCTGTTTCCCTCCCCCAAGTTTCCATCTTGGCCTCAGAGAGAAGCTGGAGAAGAGTGTGGGCCCTGCTAGGGGTAGCCTCCACCCAGGGATGGTACCCAAGGGAATACGGCTTTAATGTAGAATAGGTGTTCTCCTATTTCCTCAGACGAGAGGGTCCTTGGAGGGGCTACACAGCTCTCTGCCCATGCCTGAAACACCACCATCCGGTCCCTTGGGTTAAACATTATCCTATCTGGGATTCTTTTAGAAGTCTAGACTAGACAGATATCAGAGAAGATGGCTGCCTCACTCAGCTTGTCCCACTCTGGCTGCCTCAGGCCCTAGGCCTAGTTCTGGGCACTCAGTTGGAGAGGAACTGTGAGAGATGGGTCTACAGCACTTGAGTGTGAAGCAGCTCCACCCTCTCCCCACCACCAAACTCACATACTCTAGCAACAACACATGGATTCCAGCTGCACTTGTCCCCAACCCTCTCTTCTGTTCAGCGGGCGGGTCCTCTGCAGATGCTTTTATGCAGTCACCAGGTTCTCCAGAAGAAGGAGAGGGGCCTGGGGGAAGGGGCAATAAATGGGGAAAATAAGATGCAAGATGTGAGGAAGTGAAGACAAACTTGACTGACTATTGCCTCTTCTTTGTCAAGGTGTGGCCACCATCTGCCTTACCCCATGTGCCTAAATGACCCTCTTTTTCTCAAATGAATCATACTGTTTACTCTTGCTTCTGTTTTCTAGGGATCCCAAGGCCATGTCATGTCTTCCCTGAGTCTGTGGGGCCACACAGCCTCCCACTGGCATTCCAGCACTCTGGCCCTGTCAGCCCCTGGACCAGCTCCCAACCTTCCTCCTCACCTCAGCCTGGGTCAAGAGGACTTCCCAAGCTTAGGGATTCAGTGGGGGTATAGTAGCAGTCATAGTAAGTGGCATCCCCACCCTGCCCACTCCCTGGCTCCTAGGGATACCTGAGCCTTCTTGGTCCCTGGTGCAGAAAGGATACCTTTATGAACACTATCTGTCAGGATCCTATTGTTTCCAAGTAACAAAAAACCTATTTCAATAAAATGAAATGGTCAGCTCATGTAACCAAAGTGTCCAGAGTTAGGATAGACTTCAGACAGGGCTTGATCCAGTGGTTCAAACAATGTGACCAGGATCTGGTTTCTGTCTGTATTCCTCTGTTTCTTTTCCTTAGTGATGGCTCTACTCCTAGTAGTATTTCACAAGATATCTGCCAGCAATTTCTGGGGCAACCTGGTTCCAGGTTTAAATCTGGGTGGGGTTGGGGCAGAGACAAAATCTGCTTTCCTGATTTTGTCTCCATGGAAACCCCAGATTTAAACTCGGACTTGATCTCTTGTGCCCTATTGGCAAGATTTGGATCATCTTGATCCTTTAACTGAGTCTACAGGGCTTGGAAACATAGATGGGCTGGGGGTCAGTGTCCATCCTTCCCCAACTGTGTGACCAGGAATGAGGGGAGGTTGTTTTCTAAAGGAAGTTTACAGTCCTGCTGGCAGGAAGGATTCCTCCAACTGGGGGAGGCAAATAACAGATGATCATTGTAGACAAAGTCCACCCCATGCTTGTTTTCAAGGCCCATTTTAGGATTCTCCTCCAGGAATCCTCTGCTGACTGCTTCAGCCAGTGGTTATCTCTTTTAGTCTAGTCTCTAGCTCAGGGGTGGGGAATCTTTGTTCTGCCAAGGGCCATTTGGATATCTATAACATCATTCGTGGGCCACACAAAATTATCAACTTAAAAATTAGCCTGCTATATTTGGTCAAACATTTAATTAACTCACCTCTAATGTGATGGCTGGAAATGCTTCTCTTTGGTGAGGTGTGTAATGTTAATTAGTATTGACGATTCTGCTACTCGCAGCTGCTTGTCCAGGTTTGCATCGGTGACTCTGGAGCACAGTTGACCCTTTGCCATGGTAGGTTTTCAACACATGTCTCCGCAAAGTGGGACATTCATCATTGCTTATGTAACATTTATAGAACTCAAGCAGTGGGAGGTTGTTGTACCTAGCTTTCAGCTCATCATCGTTTTGCAGCTGAAGGATTTCTTGTTGTAGGTTATTAGGCGTATCAGTTGGTTCCACATTGAACAGTGTCTCAAAGATGTTCAATTCTATTTGTTTACTTTTCACATCCTTGAATCTTCCATTAAATGCCTCAATTAGTTTTGCACATTCACCAGCATATTCAAGTGTTGTCGAAGGCTTTGTCCTTCCAGAGTGGGGAAATGCCCTGTGTTACTCCTTTCAAGTTACACTTTCCACAGCCTTAATTTAGCTTCAAATGATTTCATGTTTGAAAACAGAGAGCTGACAGTTTGGTTGGGGCAGCAGCTTGATGGTCAGCTTTGAGAGGTACTTTGTAATGTCCACCATGAACACTAAATCACACAGCCACTTGCTATAACTGAGTTACCTGACAGGTTTTCCCTTCATCTCCATGAACTGCTTGACTTCATCCCACAGTTTATAAAACCTCATGAGCATGTTCCCTCAACTCAGCCACTGCACTTCACAGTGAGAAACAAGATCACTGTACTCAAAGTCAAGATCATTCAGTAATTCCTTAAACTGGTGCTGTTAAATCCTCTACTTTTGACAAAATTTATGCATGACCCTATTGTTGACATCACATTGTTGAACCACAATGACTGTGCACAGAGACTTTCTTGGTGTATGATGCAGTGGCATATAATTAAATCACTTGGATCAAGAGTAAGATGATTCAGCCCTGGCTGGTTTGGCTCTGTGATTAGAACGTCGGCCTGTGGACCAGAGAGACCCAGGTTCGGTTTCCGCTAAGGGCACGTACCTCAGTTGTAGTTTGTCCCCGGCCTCAGTTGGGGTTGTGTGGGTGGCAACCAGTCGATGTGTCTCTCACATCGATGTTTCTCTCTCTCTCTCTCTCTCTCTCTCTCTCTCTCTCTCTCACACACACACTTTCTCCCTCTTGCTCTATCTGAAGATAAATGCAAAAATGTCCTCAGGTGAGGATTAAAAAAAAAAAGACTAAGATGATTCAGTTTTGTCTTAACAAATGCAATTAACCCTTTTTGCAAGCCAACCATGGCTGGAGCTCCATCTGAAGTAAGGCCACTTAACTCTTCAAATATTAGCTCAGGATTTTTCATTGATAAAACAAGTCTCTCAAACAAGTCCTCACCTCTTATAGTGTCATGCATGGCTTCTAGTGATAGCAGTTCCTCTCACATGTCAAACTCTGCAGTTATCCCATAAATGAAAACCAGTTGGGCAGTATTTGTTATGTCCTTTGTCTGGTCACAAACCAGAGAGAAAAACTGGAAATCTTTAGAATCCTTTTTTCAATATCTTGTGCTAAGTCAGTAATCTGATCTAAGACAGTTCTCGGAGACTGACACTCTGAAACAATTTTACTTTGGTGCTAACAACTCTGCAGCAGCCACCACGCACTCTTTCACAAACTCTCTACATGGGGCCTCAGCTTCTTTGCAATCAGCTCGCTCACTACACAAGTCATCTGAATAATGTTGTCTCTGTTACAGCAAGGCCTGGTGAAAGCGGCTTGTTGTAATTCCAAACTCTGCTGAAGGGCATTGAAATTATCCAGAAGCATTAGGCTTCCCAATTCATTGAGTTTAGCATGTTTTGGGCTGTAATGATGCTCCAGATTAGTTTTTTTTTTTTTTTTAATTACTGCTAATGCATCACCACAAACTAGTCACACAGGTTTGCCTTTGACTTCAACAAAAAAATAATCATCTGTTCATTTCTCTTTGAAAGATCGACACTCTACATCAACTTTTCCTTTTTTTGTAGTCGCCATTTATGGGATGTCACACCACACAAGTTTTAATAACTATCCAGTGTGCGTGTTGCCAGTGATTATTTTGCTTTGATTGCTGTTCTAATCCTGCATCTTGGATTTGGAACATATCCAATGTTTGTATCATTGATTCTTGAGGTCATTTCTGTGTACTGTAATTTCCTTAATCTTCATCTGAGATTCAGTTTTTGCAAGGATTGTTGATCATGGGCATGTGGATAAAGGTTGGATTGGAGTTATCATCTTTGTTGACAAAGAAGTCCATAACATCGTTGTCAATCATCAGAGGTAAAGTCATCAATGTGAGGAATCATCTCGTCACATCTCGTCTCATCATCACTGGATTGCTATAGTTTCACCACAGTGTGTTAACACTTTCACAGCGTGTACACTCCCAGCCTGCCTGGCACTGACTGTCCTCTGAGTCACCGCAATACAGGCAGTCGGGCCGTGGGCAGCCAATGAGAAGCATTCGTGTCTGTCCCATCATATACTCATATGTGTCCTGTCTATCCTGTAATGGATGTTCCTTGCTTGTCCCTCAAAATTTACATTATTATGATTTACTTAATATAAATTTATGTTGCTATGAAGAAAGCTCCTAGATTTATTGAATTTTGAGTCCCCACTGTGGTTGCCTTGGCAGGACCAGACCAAATGATTTCTTTTTTTCTTTCTTTTTTTATTTTATTATTTATTTTTCAGACGAAATGATTTCAAGGGTCTTATATGGCCCACAGGCAAGCTGTTCCCCACCCCTGCTCTAGCTCCACCCTTTTTACAAATTGAAAGACCAAAGCTCAGTATGCATTTTATCATGAATATTTATTATTGCATCAGTGCCAAAATAGGCTGCTTTCTTTGCCTTGGCTGCTAGGAAACTCCTAGCTGGCATGTGGCCCATTTCTGATAAGTACTCAAGATGCTGTGGCGTACAATTACTTAATAACCTTGCCTCTGTTTTTATCTTTTTCTCTCACCTTTTTTTCCTTGTTCCATTTTCTTCTCTTATTTTTTGGCTTGTGCTGTTCTCAGCAACATCAAACTCTTTTAAAATGAGGTAGGTATAAATAACCAAGAGTGATGATAAATGAAGCATTCAGCACCAGCTATAGACTTTCCCTTCCTAGGGGCAGCTGGGCTGTGGGGTCTTCCCCAGACCCAGGGCCAAGCCTTTTCCCAGGGAGACACCAAAGCTTGACCTTGGTGGCCCTAGGACAGTGGCAACCCTGCCTTCCACTGGTTGGGAATGACGTTGCTCTGCTTCCCACCTGCTTCCCTCTCCCTCTCCATCTTATTAGGAGCTAATGGAAGAGGCTGGGAACCCCAGTCCTCTGATAATTAAATTTACTTAATGGGTATTTAAGTGGAGTAATGAGAAGTTTAATGCAGTGATTAGATTTTTCTTTTATTAATTAAAATGAGAATCATGTGCCCTGCCAGCAAACCAACTCTGCTTGAGTAGCAGGCAGAGACAGTGGGGGGCTTGGCCAGGTGGGTGGGGGCTGAGGCATGGTGCAGCCTTTTGCCCTGGAATTGCCATTCTCAGAAGTAGCCCAGCTCTGATGCCCACTCAGGCCAATCTCTGATTCAGCTCCCGTTTCTGAGCCCTGTGAGTGCCAGACCTGGGCTAAACCCAGGATGGAGGTTTCAGAGGTGGCTTAAAGCAAGGAGCACTAAGGAAGGATTTCAGGCCCTGTGACAGGAGGAGGCATTTGGATGGCATATCTCATTGCCATGTGCCAGCTAACACCTTCACCTGCATGTTCAGATAGACCCAGAGCACAAAATGGGCCTGGCCAGGGTAGAAGGTGAGCATAGTGGGGACCCCAAAGACAGGCCCTGACACCCCAGAGGCAGGGTATGTTGTTTTAAAAGCAATGGGTAAGGCTGAGGAGATTCCTGAGCTTTGGGGGGAGGGAAACAGAAAACTTCCTTCAGTTGAGCCCTGACCCCAGCCCCACACTGAGCCTAGCATTGTCATGGGTGTGTCAACAAAGAAAAAGGTATCTGGGTAGGAGAAGTGAGTGGCCCTGTGTTTCCATCCCTGCTGCCAACTCTACTGCCTGTGGGTGGGACTTCGTGCCAGGTC